TTATTATATCCGAACATTTTGGGATTATAAACCTGGAGTTAAGACGAGAATAGTTGTTAAGCAAAATTATGGATCATACAGTATGTTATATTGTAAAACGTCCTGTATATTTCATGTCAACAAAGATGAATCACTTTTTTCTAGTATAATGAATAAAATAATAAAACGCTACTATTTTATCATTTATACATAAAATTATCTTTGTAAGGAAATATAAACAAACATACCATGTTTGGATTCCGATGTTAAAGTCTATTTGGTTATAGCTTAAATTTAATATCTTAATAGCACAATTAAATATGTAAATAAGTATATATGTAAGTAGTGTGAAATGTATTAAAAATAAACTATTACTTATATGCATAAATAACGTAAAATTACTGAAATCTTTGTATTCCTGAAAAAAATTGGTATTCCCGCACATTTATTTTAATGCAACGCAGCCAAATTAAATTAAATCGCTTTATCTTTTCAACGCAATGCCAAATTAAATTAAATCGCTTTATAATTTCAATGCATCTTAACATTATCTTGAAAATTCTTATTTTGAGCTGTGAACTGTTTTATCAGTTATTTTCCCCAAGCATATCGATTCACTATAAGGCCTTACATAGAAATTTATATTACATTATAGATACATATTTATAAATATATAGGATGTTCAGATTTGATCCGGAACACCCTCGTCAAATTTCGATGGTTCTTTTTCGTGTACAGGGTGTTTTAATGCATCTATGGTCAAGTAGTGATGATAGTAGATATTAATGATCTTTTTATTGAAAATCTGACACCGTGGCTTAATTCAGCACTATTTATAGTCTCTCTGATCTCAATTGAAGAACCAAGAGGTTGGCAGTATGTACCAGGTTCGGTCGCTGACGCAGTAATTCTTCATTGAAATATTTGAAAAACTTGTTCCATGTTTATTTAGCCATACTCGTATACAAGTCTGGTCGCCCAGTTGAAGAATGAGCGCGCGGGCAAACGTGGCACAAACACAGCTGCACTGGGCGACCTAGCCATCAATTCAGTTGTCAATACATGACCTAGCAGTGCAGTGCAGTAATGCGGAATTTGGTGTGATCCAGGTAATTTTAATCTATTATAGACACCTTCCATTAATCATTCATATTACAATTGCGAAAGGAAGAAATAAGAGGGATATTTTGTTTACTAATATTATTACATGGCATTTTAGAGATCTTTTGAAACGGAACAGAACGAAATTTACCATCAATAAATATAATAAAATTGTTTGAGGACATAAAGAACTAAAATATGTTGTTAGTCAAATGAACATATAATAGAAATTTTCTACACATTATATAAAAATTATTATAATTTTTTACCTTTAAAAGAAAACTTTTTTAGGAACGCCTATGAAACTAAATTTTATTGCTAGGTGATTTTATGACGTTCAACTGACTTCGGAAAGACTATAAAACCCTGAATATTTCAAATTTCAATAGTTTATTAATTTTATGAATTGTAAATTTCTTTTCCGTTAAAAATTTATTGCACCCTGAAAGTACCTACATACTTAAAAATGATAAATTAACATTGGGAAAGCTTTTAAAAATCATTGTTGCCTTTTCAGAGAGGCCTTATAGCAAAAATAATTAAATAATTATCCCCATTTTAACAACTTAGAACAAATTAATACAAAATTAAATCGAAGCTCTACAATTAAAATATTTTGACCCATTTATTTCAAAGGAAAATGAAAACAAATTTTTGTAGTGTGATGTGTGTTTTAAGCAGTCAAAAATATACGTATATGAATCGACCAATGGGAAACGCCATATGAAAAAAAGGGTTTAAAATTTTTAAGTAACATTGTTCACTTCTTATATCTTTGTCTGATGGCAGTTTATATAATTTTAAAATACTTAGTAAATTTCAAAAACAAGTAAGCCTACTTAGGAACGAAAAACTCTGTCCATGGTCACAGATATATTGATGGTTGGCCTTGGTCTGGTTTAATGACATTCGAATTGAAATTTGAATTTTTCCCAATTTCACACATATTTTTGATATCATATGAAAGTCCTTATTTTTCTCAACAACTTTTATTAAGAGTGTTTCGATATCGTTCAAAATATATAAAATGATATGTATAGAGAAAAACACTGGTTAGATCAAGTCTGTTACAGACTCTGTCACCACTGTCGTGGAAAACCGTAAATTTCGCTTTACATATCATCTTATATCTGTTGAAAAATCTTTTTTTAATAAAAGTTTTTAAGAAAAAATGAAGACCTCCACAGAATATGAAAAAATGTTTACGAAATTGAGAAAATAATTTCGATGAAGTCACAGTCTCTAAGGCAGTCAACCATTAATCCTAAAACACCCTGTACATATATGGCATAAAAATCATAAAATTTTGAAATGTGACTATGTGTTTTTTCTGAAATAAACGATTGATTTCTTCCTAATTTTTTTTCCAGTACGGTCTCTACTCGTCCCTCTGCGGTGGCCTAATATATCTAGTCTTCGGCTCGATAGCCGAGCTCAGCATTGCACCTACTGCACTGCTGTCACTTTTGACGTACTCCTACACCAAAGATCTCACCTTCGGCAACGTCCAAGGGGCCATCCTTCTATGTTTTCTCTCTGGGTGTATAGAATTACTCTGTGGTATATTCCACTTAGGTAAGTAAGCAAAACCAAGTAATTGGTAATAGATGTTTAATACAAAGCAGCGAAAACCTTGGACTGTATATGTCACGATGCTGAGATTGCTGAGACAATACTATGTAACGGGTATTTCCAAGAATTTGAATAAGTTATTAGATAAACAGCATGACGAGTCAATGTACAGAGTGTCCGGTATGAGAAAAAAAATTAGCAGGTGATTCTGCCCATGAAATAAATAAAAAGTTTATTTATTTAAACATTTATCAAAATAAAAATATCGAAGTAGGCTGATTACTTTAAAATTTGGTATAGGGATATACATTTTATTGTGTCTATATTTTCTGAATAATATACAGGATGATTCACAAACAGTGACCAAAAATGAAGCCTCGTATTCTTTTGTGAATTTTAAGGGGAGTATTTCGTATAAAATTTTTATCTAGGACGCTTTGTTAAAAAGATATAGGGTTTTAAGCTTAAAAAAAACATATTTAATTTCTTTAAATATGTAATTTAAAAACTAGTAAGTGAAATAATTTGAAATTGGGCACATGTATTGTCCAAAATCTGAGGCCTTTTCCTAAAACTTAGATCCTTAGATGCTCCAGTGGCGAAGATACAGGGTATCAGTGGCGTATTTTTCTAAATAAAATAAGTAGTACGTCACTGCTAAACGGTAACAATCATAATATTTTCGGATTCGTCTTTCAATATTCTACAAATTACTACCCTTTCATGTTTTCTGAAGCCTGATTAAAAACGAACTGAAAAAACTTTTGGTGTGGGTTGACATCTGTTGGGAAACCTACGTTGACATTCCTGTCAAGCCGCTAAAGCGTTTCCATTACAAAATCGATAGACAAAAATAATATCAGCGTACTCTTCGTGGGCATATTCCATTATAAAAATTAATTAAACAATCCAGAAATTAGAAATTAACTATTATGGTAATAATAATCAAATTATTGACAGAATGTCAAAGTTGCTATCGCAGCCTACTATGAAGTAATTTGTAGAAAATTGAAAGACGAATTTGAAAATAGAGAAATAGCAACTTTTGACTTAGGTATGTGTTTGTATGGTTCTATGGTTTTTTCGTCCTCAGAAACTTCCATTATCTATCATTCTTATTGAAACACATTGCATTATGAATGAAATTTCCAAAATTATTTCTTGTTCACTTAACAATTTTTAATGGTGCCAAGAGTTGTTCTTCTCTTATACCATTAAATATTTATTAACTTCCAGTATATTTAGAATATATTCACTAATTTATTAATTATCTCCTAAGGTTTCTTGGTGGACTTTGTATCAACCCCGGTAGTAGCTGCCTTTACGTCAGCAGGCGCAATTACGATAGCAACGTCTCAAGTCAAAAATCTGTTCGGCCTCAAATTCCAATCAGAACAATTCCTCGACACCTGGAAGAACTTTTTCATCCACATACGAGAAGTGAAGATGCTGGACACCATTCTTGGATTGTCTTGCTGTATTATATTGTTGAGTATGAGGGTATGTATGTATTTGATATAAAATATTTGATTGTTTTTTATTTTCACTATTTTCTATTGTAAACTACAACTGAACGACGACCACCCCATATATTTAAAAACAATAAAACGTCGATCTATTATGCCTAGTCTCTCTTTGAAATATCACTGCATATGATATGTCAATTGACAAAAATTAATATTAGACAGGCACTTTACCTTCGTTTAACAGATTTATAGCAAAGATTAATAAAAAAAAAACAAAGAAAAAAACAAAAATTATTTAGGAAATAGATATCACACAAATATTTTCAAATATGATATTCAGGAATAACCTGCATTAAATCTGTACCTATTAATAGATCAAAAAGAAACAATAAGAAACAAAAATGATGAAAACCGATGTGATTAATTATTGCACAAATAATGATTTCATTGAGTGAGGAGTTATTTATTACTTGTTAAAATAGATGGCACTTAAAATAATTGAAAAAGCTAAAAAGAAATGCAGAAGGTCAAGCTTTTAATTTTGATTAAAATAGAATCAAATTATGTCCAACTTTATTTCTAAAATTAATTAAACTTGGAAAAAATTTAATGAAAACCGAATAAAATAGACTACCGTGGTTGTCAAAAAATTCCTATTTCCGTTCTCTGAAATAGTCAGTGATTTTGGTCAAGCGTAGCACGGGGCTTATTTATAATCTTGGAATTATTATTTTTCACGCATTAGTAATCAGTTCTAATTTACATTTAATTTTATATCCAGCATAAGCAGATGTTACATCTTACGAAAAAAATTTTTTCTAGGTATAGAATATTGTAACAAAATGCTTTATGCTTTAAATTTTAGGATGTAAATAGTAATACATACATTTATTCATGTATTTCAATATAAACACCCTGTAAACTTTGTCATACTATCCCTGTTCACAGAGGCGTAACCAAGGTCAGAGGGCAAGGGGCAAAAGTTTTTTTATTATTGTAATGAGACTAATTCAATAGGTATCTTTGTTGCCAAAATAATTCACTGTTTATCCTGGCATTCTTAGATGCATTTAAAAGAATATAGGTATCAGTATTTAGTAAATTGACGCATACAACCAGAATAAGGAATCAATAATCTCAATGTTAAAACATTTTTGAGAAACTTCTAGTACCTACTAATAGTTACATTATTATGTCTTAAAAAATTGTACTTTACAGAAATTAAAGGACTACGGTACACCTCCTTTAGCGAACACAGATAAAAAGGAAAATTATCCCACTTTAAGGAAAATCGTATGGTTCGTTTCAGTTGCCAGAAATGCTATAATAGTGATAGGTTGTGCTGCCTTGGCATTTATATTGGATAAATATGGAGAAAACCCGTTTTCTCTGACCAGTAAGTAAATTTTATAACAACCCATAATATGTATAACATTTTGTAGGATTTTATAAACACCCTGTATATAAATATGAGTTCGCAGAATTGTCTTCTTGAAAACGTCTCTTATTACGAGTATTTGCTCATACGATTTTTAATACCAAGCACCTATGTTTTTTAGTATAATAGGTAAAATAATAATAGTTGTAGTTTGTAATGATTTCAAGCAAAAAATGTTACCTAATTCGAGTTTCGAGAATTATTAAATTAGAATAGTCCAAAAACAAATAATTGAAATATTGACAGGTTGTCCGTGACTGTAAATATCTAATATGATTTTGTTCCACAAAAATTACATTTTCGGCTATCATAACCTCTAAAATAACTGTTAATATAACTAAATTCGGGGATAATAACAAAGGTACATTTTAACCAATCTTGATTTAATTCTCGTGCTCTCCTGTTGATATAATTTACATTATTCGTCGATTTCATCCATGACACTTTAAACTTACCGTATAACTGCCTCCAACAAACAATTCAGGTGCTCGTATATTTCTAATCTACAAGAACTTTTTGACACTAATTCACATCACTACCTTTTATACAAAACTTATTATGTTAGATTTCTCACACAAAACACTGTTAATTCCAAAATTTTCACGAAAAATATCTGCGAACAACATACTCAACATAACTAAACATTTTAAAACAGGTGAAAGAGTGACGTCACTGCATGAAAACTGCGATCACTGCCAACCACGATAATTCAAATGTAGACAAGTATGGTACAGCCAAAAGAATGTGAAACCCTTGAATAAGATTTATTTTATTTAATTTTAAAATAATATTATAGTATTATAATAGGCCATTTTAATGTATATTAATCACATAGACTTTATTTCAAAGGGAAAAACAAGATTTTGAACGTATAGGAAACGAACCCACTAAACATTTTTCAGTTTCCGACATGTTTTAGAAACGTTTCCATTTTTCTTGAAACGTTTCCTAAAAAATTCATGCAACGTTCTGGTAACGTTCTAGAAATCCAAGATGTCCTCCCCAAAATACGTTTCCAATGAAATGTTTCAAAAAATTGGTTTCAGTAACATTCTTTTTATGTTCCATTTATGCACTCGATATTTTTGTTTTACGTTTCAGTATATTTTCAGAAATGTTTGAGTAACATAATAATTTTATTACCATATTGTTCTCATAATGCTCTCAACTTTAGATAATTTTCACTTCAAAAGCGTTTTTGAAATAGTATAAATAGTGTCAGTAATTTTTAAAATATTTCTAATACTCTTTTGTGATATTTTTATTTGTATTATGAATGACTTAATTCGAACTCGACAACTTCTCAAAAAATTTAACTAAAAAAGTTGTTACATTGTATATTAAAAAAAATTATATTAAATAAATAAATATGCTCTTCTAGTTTGGGGATGCGGCAACTTTTACCAAGAATTTCTTTCTTTTTGAGAAGGCACTGAAAAAAGTTTCTAATATGGATTACGAATTTTGCCATTCATCATACAAATAAAAATGTCACAAAACAATATCAGAAGCATTTTAAAAAAGCTACACATCATTTTATATTGTTCAAATACGCTTCTAAAATGGAAATTTTCTAATGTTGAGACTATCGTGAATATGGTAACAATGACGAACTGATGAATCTTGAAATGGTAGGTACATGAAAAACAAATAACATACTGAAAAATAATATAAAGTTACAATTTCTTCTACGCATAGTCAATTTTACATCTTCCTTTTAATAATAATAATAAATTATACAGTAGAAATAAGGATACAAAATGATATCTTGACAAAATAAATATCTGTAGGTATACCTAAACTCTTTTATTTAAGCATGCCTATACACATAAACAAATATAAACATTTGTACAAAATATAAAATAAATGAAATCTATTTCACTTGATTCATCCATATTTCAAATAGTTATTCTCACTGACTAAGTAGTTGCTCATCAAATTATATCGAAACATATAGTTCCATATTCCATTTTCATAGTTCTTGTCCCTTATTGTCCTCGTCTATAATAGGTAGTGGGTATAACTATGTTTAGGTACATGTGTCGCAAAATTGGAAATCTCTACACATATCGTTTTAAACATATTGCATTAATATTCATTATTTTATATGCACCTTACAATAACCACAACTGCACACACTACAAATTATCAAAATAAAGATGGAGAACAACGAATCAAGGCAAACTGGCAAACCGCAAACCTAACCTAACATAATACGAATTACGAATTGAAAACTACACACGGGATCACAGGAAACAAATAAATTCGGGCTGTTACGCGCAGTCTACGCAAGTCACGAACATACATTTTTTCTAGACTTGTTATAAATATGCCAGCACAATTTTTTTTTCTGTTTATGTCTGTTTGTATAACAAAGGCAAATGAACTAACGCTTGAGAGGGATTGGGAGCAAAATTTAACTAATGTCGAATGTTCCATAAGATAAGCAAAAAAAGCAAAGGGTTGTTCGTCTGTTATATGTTTTCGAGATCGAAAGGGAATGTTTCGAGTAATGTTTCAAACTCTCTTCAATTGGAACGTTTTGGCTATGTTTCACTAAATAAGTTTTCAAGTGCAACCAGAAACGTTTCTAGTTAATGTTTCAAATGTTTAGTAAAACATCTCATTTGCAACGTTTCATTTACGTTTCGTGTTTAGTGGGAAACACCTGTTGAATAAATATTAACCTAGTTGAGAGTGAATACGGCTTTAATTAATTGTCTTTTTAAACTGTCATTCTAAAAGTAATTTTGAAACTACAAATTTATTTTACCTTTAAATTTTAGCAAAGATTCCTTCTGGATGGCCGAATGTCTCCCTGCCAGCGTTCAAAATCGAGCAAGAAAATAAAACATTGACTTTTATAGACATGACTACAGAACTAGGAACAGGGATTATTGTTATTCCTTTTATTGCTATTATAGCGAACGTTGGAATAGCTAAAGCTTTTGGTAAGTTCAAACAACATATATCAAGAAGAAAAATACATCATAAAAATATTTGTATATTTCATTTCGTTAGAACAAAATTCAAATTAGATACATGTTCGTATAGGCAACCATATATACGACAAAGTGAGTTATAAATTGCATAAAATGTGTCCTCTTACCTATTATAAGATAAATACATTATTTTATTCAAACAATAACTAGGAAGACATGTTTTCTATAATAATACACATTTCTCTCTTGTCACAGCAAAAGGGAATGTGCTAGACGCCTCCCAAGAAATGATAGCTGTGGGATTATGCAACATAGTGGGGTCCATGTTTGGATCGTATCCCGTGAATGCCTCTTTTTCTAGAGCAGCTGTTGGAGGAGCTAGTGGTGTAAGAACGCCTTTAGCTGGAATATATACAGGTAGACAGTGGTGTTCATATTAAAAAATATTTTATTCTTGCATAAAGAGGGTTACCTGAAAAGTAACAACATATAATGAGAAACGTGTTAGCGGTACTTAAAGTTCATAAATTATTTTACATGTTTGTTAAACTGTTTTGTACACTTTTTTTCCTTTTATGTATTATTATATTTGAGCCAATTTTTTTTGTTGGACTTCTCATGATTACGTAATATTTATTTACACGAGTAGTTCTAGAGTTATGTTAGGCTTGATGAAGTAATTGGTAACGTTAATAAACAAAGAATCATCAATAAAACAAAGTAATAAATCAACGGTAGGTAATTCAATTTTTGGATAACATGAAAACTATATTTTTTTCTTGGAAACACCATAAAAGTGAGAAGTAGTGGAGTAGTGACTGAATTTTCAAAATATTTGGCGTCGTCGAGTTTCCGAAGTTTTTATTGAAAGTGTCTCCCGGTATCTCCGCCACTTTATTTATTTAGTAGACTTTTATCTTTAATCAGATAACTTATTAACATAGAGGTTTCAACATTCTGCATCAAACTTATCACTATTTTAGAAAAGGTGATTTTTTTTTAATTAAACACCTCGAACATCTCGAAAATTATCAACTTGCAGATCTATGTTTATACGTACAACCCTTTTGGTTTAAAATACTCAAATTAATTAACGCTCTGTATTATAACCAAGGGTTGTACTAATCCAATAATAGCTGGGTTTTACCATAGGCGTAACTAGGTGGCTCTATGGTGGCGTCAAAGAAAAAACGCAATCATCGACTTACCGATATAATATTTTAAAACTTAAGCACTCTTTCGTTTAATTTAAAAAAAAGGTGCCGCAGTCATCAGCGACTTACCAATATGAGAAAGATTATATTTTTGGACCTTTTTTTCTGGGATGAGCACCGGACTTTGTGGGGTAGCCCATGGGTTTTATTTACCTGATATATCAGCTATTTGAGCACTGAATGGTCATAACTTCAAAAAATATGTTTTTATTTGCAGCTGCTATGGTATTCTTGGCATTTACGCTTTTAACTCCTTATTTTTCCTTCATCCCAAAACCAACCCTATCAGCGGTGATAATTTGCGCCGTCATATTTATGGTAGAGGTAATGATAACGAAGCAAATCTGGACCATCAACAGTAAGTCTTGCAGAGTCTTAAGAAATATACCAATTAGAAAAATGTACTTTTAATAATTTTATTGCATTTCTTGATGCAATGTGGAATTTTTTATACACGCGATACAGTTTTTTCAGTATTATTGCAATTATTGTTCATTAAAATGTAACTTGTAATTCAGGATTGGATTTGATTCCGTTTGTGGTGACGCTGATATCATGTCTCATTTTGGGAATAGAAATGGGGATTCTAATTGGTATTTTAGTGGATATATTGAAACTTCTCTACGTTACTGCAAGGCCAAAAGTTTTGGTAGAGAAAATACCGGTAAGAAATATCCTGATGCAATCGTTAAAATCACAGATAGAACATTTAGATATATTTTATTCATTTTCCCAATCCTAATAAATGTTTTATTTCGAAAAATTTTAGATAGAAAAAGAGAAGTACATTAAAGTAACGCCCACCTCTTCGATTTTGTTCCCTTCAGCAGAACACGTTCGAGAAAAAATTATAAGCCACAATTTGGAGTTGGGTCAAAACTGCACCACTATCGTGATAGACTGCCAAAGGGTCAATAAAATGGACTTTACCTCAGCAAAGGTGAAAGAATTAAGATCGAAATATGATTTTTTTGTGCTCAATCTATATTTTTTTCCATAGTGTGTTGGAGATCTGGTCAAGGATTTAACCACCAGCGGAAAAAACGTGGTGTTCATGTCATTGAAAGATCGCTTAGTAACGACTTTAAAGAAGGTATACGATGGTAAAATTGTGCTGGTGAAGTCAGAAACTGAATTAAAGGAATATTTATATTCAGGTACTAATAAGGTCTTATTATTTTAGCCTCCTGAAGTTTAAATTGAGTTAACTTTATATAACCTTATTGCGCCAAACTTAACATGATATTATAGCGATTTTGAGACTTTTGAGGCTTTCACAGCCCATGCTAAACACCATTTTTTCGGGTTATTACGGACTCCCTATCTGCTTTTCATTTGATAGAATATTTAGGAAAATTACATTAGGTTCCCTATTGTGAACAATTTTTATCTATTAATATTGAAAAAGCTATTCTAAAATATAAAAATCTTTCTATCGTGGCTTTTTACGTGTTCGCAAACCTCTAATTTTGTTTTTCTAATGGCATAAGTCTGATTTAGTCTATCTCCCTGTTTAGTCCCATTCATTATATATCATGAATAATTATGGATCACTCTGTACTAAATACTATAATTCATTAGACAGCTTATAATTATCATAGTTTATGTTTAATAATTGTTTACATGCGATTAATAAAAAAATTTATAAGCACCTCATCATAGAAGATCGTTTAATTGTATTTTGTTTTGTGCTCTAAATGTACTATGTTCTATGCTTATAAATTTCCTGTTCTGACCAAGTGGTCTGTGGTTATAGAGGTTTTAGGTTAAGTTTACAGTGATAATTTTTTTACGGAAGTCGATGGCTAATTTTACCGAATTACGTGTTTTACAGGCCAACAGCAACCAATATCGAATACCTTATCAAATATTTCAAACGTCCAAGAAAATGGGGAGCACCAGTCTTCGACAACACAACTGTAAAAGAGAAATAAAACAGTTTACACTGGCCCGAATTTTATGTTTTTTAACGTAGTAGTGAGATTATTTATTTATTTAACTTGTAATAATGCAAATTAGCAAAAGTGATCGTGTGTGTATAATGTACTTCTACGTAACAGTAGACTTGTCTAATTTTAATAAATAAAAAGTGCTGCCTAAAAAAATGGTTTTATTGACATTGCTGACCCGTTGCTCCGTGTGAACAAATTGATAAAGTTTAGTGTCAGGGTTATTATTAATAATTAAGTAAAGAAATTTAGACTGTAGACTTATTTTCATTGAACATTTAGGCGCAAGCGAGTAATTCAGAATAGGTAAGTGACAGAAATCGATTGTCTCGTTAATCGTTATCTCAAGTATGTTGGTTTCAACCGTATGGTATGAATGCAACTTTTTCTTTATTGATAAGATAAAAAATAGAGATAAAGATGATCTCTGATATAACGATATTATTTTGTAATAGGTATTTATTTAAAAATCGGTATATTAGAAATTGAAAATTAATTTTGAGTGAAACAGGTATACAGTATACAAATTCTAAAATAGGCATAAAAAGGTAGGTAGGAATAATCAAGTAGGTAGCTGGTTTAAAAATATGCATAGAGAAAGGGGGTATTTTTAAAAATACTTCAAAATTATTCTCAAAAAGATCTAATAGGTAGGTAGCTGTTTTACATTGACAATTTATCATCAATAAATTGACGAAGTTCTTCATCAACTAATTCACGAAATTATTAATAAACAGTGTGGTTTTACACTGCTACAGACTTTGTCAAGTTTTTTGACGTATGAATCAGTTCTACCAATGAATCAAAGAAGCAAATAAATTTCAAAAATGTCACCTTTAACAACAGCGGTACCGTTATGACACATATTATATAAATATTAGTTTTTGTAAATAACAAATCAGTAAAAACAATGCAAAACTAGCACGACGCCACACAATTATTTACATATTCCAATAACATAACCTCATTACTGATCTGAGGCTGGAAATCTGTTGGGTTGGTGCTTTCGAACTTCACGAAGAAATTGACGAAAATTAGATAATTAGAACATGATGAATAAATTGATGAAGTTATTTGACAGCTGATTTGGTGCATTACAATTGTCCAATTTCTTGATGAAGCGACTTCATCAATTAATTGATCAATAAATTGTCAATGTAAAACAGCTTTTACAATCTTCCCATATTTTGTGCGGGTTACGTAAATGAATATTACAGTTTTGGAAATGAAGTTTTTCCTTTCTTATTAAGAATTTTATAACTCATGTTTATAGAAAGGTAATTCTTGAAGAAACTGCTTAAACAATTCTGAAATTCTTAATATTGCATAAGTGGTCTTCTTAGATAGAATCGAGGATAGAATATCTGGTGCCAAACATATAGTACCGTGTGGAAAAAAAGTAGGTACCTACCGACTTATATTTGAAGTTTCATGTCATTTTTCACACGTCGTTTTGCTTATCTGCGTGTGATAACGTAGGTAATCGAATTTTTAATAGAACTTCTGAGCATTGTTTTCGGCCAAATTTTTGTAGAATATAACTTTTTGAATTCACTATGTGTGTGATGAATTATTATAGTTTTCAAAAATAATAAACTTATTCCATACTTTTCTACCACTTTGTATATTCTTAAAAAGTTATCCAGAACGGATCATTGATTCCGTTTGACCCCTTACAGTCACAAAGTGGGAACGGTCCCTACACTATTTAGGATACAATTCTAATTACGTTTCTTGTGACGGTGCCACAAAGAAAAAATCACGAAGGCCAGTAACACAAACATCAACAATAAAGGCCTTGAGAGTGGATTTTTATATAAGAAATGGAACGCGATAATGTAACAGTGCTTTTTCTGTCGGTAGTATCTGGTTCTAATTTTAATTTATTCTAATTTAGCCTATTTTTGTTATAAATGTATTTAGCGTAAGACTAATTAACTGGAGTCCTTTTATTGATTAATAATAATGTTACTCAACTGTACTATAAAAAGTGTTCTGAAGCAATGGTTCAATGAGTTTAAATGAACTACACCGTAGAAAAGTAAAAATTTGCCTTTAGGTGTGAAGATAATAATAATTAGTTTCTTTTGGGCTTTGTCTATAAGTATTGCTTAAATAAAAAAGCAGGTTTATTTATTTTTCTTAAGACTTGACGCTAAGAAGTTTACAAACATGCATTGTCTGTTTTGAAACAGTGCCGTCCATTCTCAAGATGGTGACATACTCATTAAATTTATTGGATATTTTGCAATTGTTAATAGAATACTGTCCTTGGACTGATGTCTCATGAAGCTGTTTTGAATAACAAAGTAAAATTTCTCTAATTAGAAAAAAAATATGCTTTGAACTTGTAAATAGCACCACAACAGATTGATCGTCAAGTGAACAAATTTCTATCTGAATAGTATGAATATTGTTAATTTTGCTTTTAATCAGCACTCATAAAATAAATTTCCAATTCTGTTAAAATTGCAGAGGGCAACGAAGATAGAAGAAACTTAAGTTCGACAAAGATATAAGAATTATGTATAAAAGCAAATTGTTTTCATAGTGTGTACGATTCTGACCTTGAAAAATGGGAGACTGCCTAAAAATTTCATTTAAAACCCAATCGAATCCTATTAGATTACCCAACATATTTTCAAGGTTACATTCGTAAATGGCATTTTCTATAAAATTATTCAGTCGTACATAACTTCGAGATTAATTTTTTTTACCTAACTGAGTCAGAGGGGGTATTTATGATTATAGTTAATTTACAGAGTTCTAAAAAATGTAAAAAACAAAGTAAGAAAATAATTGATCTTAAAGAATTATATTGTTATAAATGGGCTAGTTATAGTCTGTGACGAATTGTATCCCACACAATAATTGTAATGTTTACTTGGTCTGATTGCAGTATTAAATCTGATCAAAATCAAAACATGATGAAATATTTTCTATGTTGATACCTACCATTACTTGAAAGTTCGGCTTTTTTGGTACTTTTCAAAAAGCCAATATATTCCCTCATATATAAAAGTATTGGCTATGAAAAAGTGCATTTCCGTTTGAGCAAAACTATGTACACTTAGGTATCTTTTAAATTATTTTTTAAACCGACATAATATCCAATTAAGTTTAATTCAACCGAGACTGAATCCTCAATCGTAATACTAATAAAGATTGACACAAATTTAATACCTACAAACGATGTTTGTATTAAATTAATGTTTACGAGACAGCCTGAGTAGGCACAGAATATACAAATACAAATGTGACATTTAAAATAATAGATTGTGGTAGGTTAAGTTTAATCTGCATGCAAGCAAATTCTTCGGTTGTATTATATTATCAATGACGTTCCATTACTATTATAAATTGCATTTTTTTGAGTAACCAAGGTCATTTCCGGAAAACAGTTTTTTTAATAATAACGATAGTGATAATAAACAACAGATACGGTATCTGCTTAAGATCGTATACGTGTTGTAGATGGTAAACAAATATTGTCACAAAGTGTACAGAGTGGACCAAATATTTGGTGCTGTCTTGAAAATAATGCGAGATAGAAAAAATTGATGTGTGGTTCAGCGTTTAGATAAAAAATAATAGATATACCCCAGTCTGCTCTCTCGTTCTATTTCGAAGATACTGGTCGTTTCTTAGAAAATTAACTTTTGTATATTTAAGTATCAGAAGAACTTTTTCAAGGTGTATTACTGAATAGAACACACGTTTTATCCGTTTTCAAGTAGTTTGATATAAAATTTGCCCTCAGATCTCACAAAATTTAATCTTGTACAGCTTAAATAATTTTGAATACGTATTTTTTATATTAGAAAAATTAAAAGCGCCTAAATTTACTCTATTTTTTAATTCTTATAAGGTAGAATGGCTGGCTGGTAAACTACCCTATTTACTGAATCGTCGTTACAAAATTTCTATCTTATCAACATCGCCTTCTTTTGCTTCAGTGAATCTTAGCCGCAAGCCTACTGAGATGTTGCGCTAAGAAGCTGGTCCAGCAATTAGGGAGGAGAGAGAGACGTATTTAATAAACTGAAACACGTGCTTGGAATCATTTAATTCACTGTTTAGTTAGCTGAAGGTTCTTCGCAATTTTTAAGCCAGTGTTACTCTATTGGTGTGTTTACAGCATGGTCTTCCTATAGTTCAACTTGTGCGAATATCTTATTCCTGACGTTTATCTTATCGTGTAAGTGGTATTTAACGTGGTTTTAATCATTTTAAATTTGTTTATCGCGTTTTGTAGTGCCAACATAGGCGTTTCCAAAAAAAATTTCAAAAGGCAGATACCTTTAATAATAATAAAAAATAACGAATGTCGTTAAAATATGCTTAAAAAATTAAAGAACTTAGATAACATAATATTGTTATTTTCCACAAATAAAAGTTGCTTAATAAATGTTGAAGCGTTTATATGTATATCTAAAATACATGTTTCTGATTTCAGTATAATATATTTTTTAAACTTCTCTTACATTTTTTAATCATTTCTACGTATACAGAGTGTTAATTAAGTATTCTGCTAAGCTTTAATAGTGGATTCTACGTCACGAATCAACAAAATAGGTCCCTATATAACATGTGTCTGGAAACGCTTCAATTTCGAAATACAGGGTTTTGAAATTAAAAGAAAAATTAGTGCTAATGACTTAACAAATTTTAGGCAGATATTTGCTGAATTCGTGCACAAATTTGTCAACCAATGGCGGCGATGTTGAGAAAGACCGTCATTAAGAAGCTAAGAATTTCGACGCCACTGAATATTTTGAAAATTGGAAGTGTATTTAATTTAACGAGCCATTTCTCAGTTATCATTATTTTTATTTAAAGTAAACCTACCGTAGGTATACTTGAATAAATTAAAAAGACTAACAATACTATTAGTAAATTATATATAAATTATATTTTTTTTGGTATTGGAAATACAATGTAATTATGAAAAGTTCAAAAAATATATGATAATAATTCCTTAAAAAATTTAAAATTATTACGCCAACGTATTAAAATTATATTTCTAATAAAAAAATCCTGTATTTGTTGAGAGATGAATTGTTTTCAAGTTATTTTCCATTTATTCAATTATGTAGCACTTATTTTAAATTAGAAAAATAATAATTCAAAAATGGCATGTTTTTTGAATAAAATTGAAAATATCATTTTTTTATATATAATGTACTAACCGGAATTAAATGTACTGAAATAATGTCCAAAATATTCAGTGACGTCGAAAATCTAGGAGTTTTTTTTAATGGCGATATTTCCTAGTATCTTCACCACTGTTTAGCAGATTTTTGTACCAATTCAGCAAATTTTTATCCATAATTATTTTAGTCAGTAGTTCAAGTTTCATCATTCTACGTCGTAACACCCTGTATCTGGAAAACGAAGCGTTTCCAGACACATGTTTATAAGAACTTTTTTTTACTGATTTTAAACGCAGAACTCACTGTTAAAGTTTACTAAAGTATATCAACAACATCCTGTATATGTGAGACCGGATAATTGTTTATCAATTTATAAAGATGCGTTGCATTTAGCACATATAGATTTGTAGGAACAATTAGTGTTACTAACAACCTAGGTAACTAAGCATCGAGCTAAGCATAATCATCTTTGTAATTGTTATATCGTCATTTATCCACGGGTTTTTGTTATAAATACATTTAAATCCTTCCTCAACAAAAACAAAAAAGAAAAAAATATATTATAGATATATTTAATCTCATATATTCAGAAGGCCACAAAACATTAAAAATTGGAGATAATTTCCTTTTCAAATTTTGATGTTTTGCGAAAATTGTCATTACTTTTCTGGGTGTGACCTTAAAACACATCAAAGTCATTACAGAGGAAAGTTATAAGAAATAAAACAAGAGGGACAGGAACACTTATACGACTTTCACAAATCACTATTACTGTAGAATACATTTTACTGTTGAGATATCTAAATACATGGTGACCACTTATGGAGATTTGAATTTTTTTTGTTACTTTTGATTGTCAAACAATTTTTTTGTGCCATATTAAATATTGGTTTCATTACACATCATATTTTATGTACCACACATGTAGAGGAGAATCCATAATTCTTCTTTGACATATACTTGGTGAATCAAGCCATAGAGTCGTTGTAGTGTATTTTTGATAAGTACTAGCTACATTGGATATAAGTAAAATAGGCAACTAATATATTAATTTTGTAAACAAATAATTTTTCTATCACTTCCGGTTTAACCGGAAGTGCCACAATTTTACATATCTAAATGGGACACTATATTTTTGTGATCATTTCGGTTCAAAATTATATTATATATAAACACTTTAAATGCTATTTTTATAAAAAAATATTTCAGTAAGGTTAACATTTTTAATTGTTTTTGCTCATCTAACGAACAAAAGTATCAAAATCACTTATTTTTGTTATGCCTCCAAATTTTTGAACGAATAAAGATTTTGAAACGAAATTTTGTATACATAATAAATGAATAAGGCGTGGTATTTAACAAAAAAAAATAAAAATAATAAGTTTCAGCTCAAACCAGTGGTTTAGATATGAAGTATGACAGGTTATATTTTCCTCAAAATTAAGGCATATTATGTATATATCTCGGTATATATTTTTGAAATGTAAATTTTATATTCTATGAAAATGACCTCGAGACTTTTTTGATAATGGTTTTGATACAAATTTAAAATTAAGTTCTGTTCAAATTTAAGATTATTTTATTCCTTATTTTTGAAAATCAAGATTGCAAAGTTTTCAAATAAAAAAATATTCATAAGAATACAGAGATCTTTAAACTCTTAAGAGGATTTATATGTGAAAAGACATATTGAAAAATATATTAAGTATAATTTTAACAATTCGGAAAATCAGAGAAACTGGAAAAAACTATTTTTAATAATAGTTCAATTTTCCCGAAGTTTTCCGTATCCCATGGGGAATAAGCGTTTTTAGGCCCATTTTTTTTTAAAATTTTGACCCTCTGATACACATAGGCGCTCTTTTGGACATATTTTTTAATAAAATATTAGAGCATACAGTCACTATGCCAATGAATTGAAATGAAATTTATTTTTATCAATTTGAATACTATATTTGTTCATGTATTGTACACATCAAATTTGGTTCAATATCTTCATTTGTTCAGGAGATATTTAGAGAGATAATATTTTTTAAAAACTTCAACAGCTTGTATCTTAAAAATGTATATTTCAAATTCTTTCCTTTCATTTCTGATACCTGTTCTGTTAACTCCTGTATAGTTGAGAGAGCGATGACCTTTGCAGCTAGAACTACTATCATATCTTCAGGCTACACTGCACAACTATTTCAAATCTACATATTATAAAAATATTTCCCATATTGTTAGCCAATTATCAATTATTTTTATATTAAGATATCTAATTACATATGTTAATTTTCTTTTCTCATTAGTTTCAGGGACATTTGGAATATATTCAACACCATGCCGTTAATGAAATCATTAAAATCAATGGTAATAAACAGGATTCCGATTTTAAAATGGGGCCCACAGTACAACTCGAAAAAGCTCGTCAGCGACACCATAGCAGGGTTTACGGTGGGACTCACTGTCATGCCACAAGCCTTGGCTTATGCCACTCTAGGGGGACTCGAACCACAAGTTAGTACAAAAAATCAGGATAAACATTAGAAAGATATGTTAAAATCATAGCAAATCTTAGATTAAATGTTTGCTTCGTAACAAGCAAACTCTAAATGATTGAAAAATTTGATTCAGCGAGTTAAATATTATCATTAAGTTAACAAAAAAACTGTCAAGCTAAAGTTGCCATAATCTTCCTATCCACATGTATACAACTACTTCGACTTTTATTTATTCCTAATTTTATTCCTAAGTAGGTACTTTACTTAGGGACACCAATTTTACCCAGCAAAACTGTTATGTTTGGGCAGTTTTACGATAATTTTACCAACGGGCAAAATGAACGAAGTGTGTGTGACCTATTAAATGCACAAAAAATAACAACTAGGTAAGTGTATGAAAAATCCGAAAATGAGAAAGAAAATGTTGTTTTAGTATGGTCTCTATTCAGCATTTGCCGGGTGTTTTGTGTATACGATCTTCGGGAGCATCAAGGATATAACTATAGGACCCACAGCTCTTATGGCTTTGATGACCTACCAGCAAGTAGTGGGGAGGAACGTGGACTACGCAGTGTTACTGTGTTTCCTTTCTGGAATTGTCCAAATGATCATGACCATTTTACACTTAGGTAAGTCTAAGAAGGTATAGAAAATTTGACTTAGTAAAAACACCAATATCTTCAAAACCACGAAACTCACCTTCAATGACGGTGGTGTCTGGAATATAACTGCAAATACACGGGCACAACTGTCACCGGGCTTGTGTTGTTAATTTACAAATTTTTCCCCCAGTTTTAGGGATTTATTGAATTAAAATTATCGATCATTTCTTTTGAATGTTGCATGTTTTTTTTTAAATGTGTAGTACTTGAAAATAAAATTGATTTATTAATTAATAAATGCAGCAATTAAAGAGATTGCAAGGTATATTAAAATATATATCTGAAGTCAAATTCCTGGGTTTAGAGTATCTTTGGCAACAATACATCTAATATTTATGTAGACATATGATTTCTTGGCTTATACGTTACTTCTGGTGGCTAATTTGAACAAAAAATATCGTAAACATATTTTTTCTGTGTACTTTTCTTTTAAAATCACTTGAAAGGTCCATTTTTCTCACTATTCCAAATTTTAGAACCATAAAAACAATATATTTTTTTACCTTTTAGGAGTGCTTATTGATTTTATATCGATACCAGTGACAGTTGGTTTCACTTCGGCTGCATCTGTGATAATAGTAGCATCTCAGCTGAAAAGTTTGCTTGGCCTCAAAATTAAATCATCCGGATTTTTAGATACTATAACGAAAGTATTCAACAACATTCGCATGACCAGATTAAATGATTTTACTCTTGGTATAGTCTGTATCATCGTCCTCATGATATTAAGGGTAAGTATCGCCATCTGTATCGTTATGTTGAACTTAAAGTCATAGAAAAGATATTTTGGGGTTTAATACTGAGAGACATAATAAAGAAAGATCTAAAAATGCGCTATTGTTGTTCAAATTAGGGCAAATATTTTAAAATGCATCTTTTAACTACTATGTTCCACTTTCAGTGTCAAGACTCCAAACATTTTTTTCAGTTTTACATTTCGAATGACAAGTCTTGCTAAGATAATATTAAATGTGTATTTTTGTTCTTCTCAGAAACTGAAAGACATTAAACTGCACAAGAAAAATGAAAAACCTACGAAACACCAAAAATGCTTCAACTATCTGCTATGGCTGATTTCTACCTCAAGGAATGCGGTGGTAGTGATCATATGCAGCGCTGTGGCCTACCACTATGAAAATACAAGTGAAGGGTCGCCCTTTCTTTTAACTGGCAAGGTCAAGGCGGGTTTGCCAGAGTTGAAATTGCCCCCTTTTCGGACGGTAATTGGAAACCGTACCGTAGACTTTGCCGGAATGGCTTCAGATCTGGGCAGTTCCATAGTGTTGGTGCCGATTACTGCTGTTTTGGGAAACGTCGCCATAGCTAGGGCCTTTGGTAAGATTCAGGCAAATATCTGTTTACTTTTTATAAATTTTTAGTAATCGCTAGGATTGGCAGGCTGTTTTTTCAAATAATTTTGTTGAAAATCATAAAAACAAGAAAAATGCCTCGCAATCAACAATTGGAAATACGGGTAGAGTTAATTTACATTTCAAGGGTCAGTCGTTTTAACCGTTTTGATAATATCTAATTATAAAATGCATTCATATAAAACAGTGTTTTTATTTAATTATTTATATTTTAAATTTGCATTTTTTCTCCATTATTTTTATATTCGATGTCTTGTAACTTTAATATTAAACGGTATTAGAATATTGTACAGGGTGTTATGAAAAGATAATCACAGATTTGTTGGCCCTCAAAAAAGCTTATAGGCCCACTTTAATAATTTTTGTCGCCTTAAGACCAGTGCTTTTTGAAGTGAAAAAGGTTTACTTGTTTGTTTTGATAAAATGAAACCGTTTTTGAAATAAAGTAGAAATAGAAAAATTTAATGAGGAACAATAAAGTTGTAATAAACAATCAATGTTCAACTCTCAACTTTAAGATCTAATAAATATGCAGGGTGAGACAATAAAAAAAGTATATTTTCCTTTTTATTTTATCCACAAATCTGAGAAATTACTTATAATTTCCTTGACACCTTGTATATTTACTAAACTATCTACAACTTATTACGCTGCAAAGTTTAAATTTTTTTTTGTAACTTTTTTTATTGTTTTCTTTCAATTTTTATCAGCTAGCGGGTCCAGCATCGATGCCACCCAAGAACTGTTCACCTTATCTATGTGTAACGTGATAGGATCATTCTTCTCGTCCATGCCCATCACGGGGTCATTTTCAAGATCGGCTGTTAATCACGCCAGTGGAGTACTAACGCCATTTGGGGGCATCATAACAGGTAAAAAAGAAATTTCGATAATGTTTTCAAATTAAACTTGCCGGTTTTACAACATTTTTTGTTAATTTACTTTGTTTTTGAAATTCCAGGTATTATGGTTCTGCTTGCCCTCAGCTTTCTCACCCCGTGCTTTGCCTTCATCCCCAAAGCCTCTCTAGCCGCCGTTATCATCAGCGCGGTAATTTTCATGATCGAGTATGAAGTGGTAAAGCCGATGTGGCGTACGAGCAAGAAGGATCTCGTGGCTGCGTTTGCCACTTTTGTGGCCTGCCTGGTCATAGGAGTGGAGTACGGCATTCTTCTGGGTGTTGGAATCAACATCATGTTCCTGTTGTATCCGTCTGCGAGGCCTACGGTGTACGTGGATCAGTTAAAGGTAAGTGGATCAGAGAAATGTTTTATAATCACGATTTTGATTCATTCTCTTAATGCAAGAAATGTCAAATTGATTCAGTTGTCATACATTGTACGCGGGAGCACAAATGGCTCAATCTGTCGTACTGACCTTACATAACAAAGTAGTGCAAACATATTGAGAACTGCTGAAGTCGAGAGGGAATGACACGGTATATCACATGACATATCACACTTAGTGTTCAATATTGCTAATTCATTTGATAACATATAAACGAGCATTTTCAATAAACTATTGGTGCAAATTTTTTAAATTAATAATTTTGTTGAGATTAAAAATAGTTTCCTCTTAAAATAAAACTGTTGCACTGACTACGGTGAAAATTCAGGTAGTCATATTTTGATAATTAAATGTGGGATGTTTTTAGGGGAATATTTCAAGTTACATTACAAGTTTTGTAATAAAAAATTTCGAAAGAAATTTACGAAACAAACAAACTAAATTAGGGGTTGCTGACATTGAGATCATGAAAAAAATTGGTAGTGTAAACAGGGTTCGTAGCGGCCGGGAAAACCGGGAATACCGGGAAAAGTCAGGGAATTCGTTATTCTTCATAAAAAACAGGGAATAGTCAGGGAATTTTAAAAATATTCATGAAAGTCAGGGAATTTGATGTTTGCAACTGGAAATTTTGTGAAAGCCAGTCCTGGGTTCTTGAAAGAGAAAAATATTTGTGGTTTTGAAACCTTTATAAGAGGTTCTTAGAGTATAAAAAGATTATGGGCTCCAGTTGAGAAAAAATTTAATGCATAAACACCAATTAGTATGTAAAAATGAACTACAAGTGACCTGGATTTTATTTTGAAAGTCAGGGAAAACCTGGAAAAGTCAGGGAATTCATTCTTACTTTTGAACTATGAACCCTGGTAAAGCAGGATGTATAATCGCTGGGCGCAGGAGTGGTCGGATCGGAGTGATTTTGGTGTCATTGTGTAGGTTGGACTATTCTGTATCAAATAGAAGTAGTCCGAGTATTCCACAATTATGTGGGAAGGAAAATGACAAACCTCTAAATTTTGGTTATTTTTATAAGAATTGGAGTGTTTAAATGCTTTTTTTTTAAACAATACTTAACTATACAGTCTATTTCGATTCCAGTAAAAATAAATCTCTGAAAACTAAAATAAATGTAGTAAAACAAATTGATGACATTCTGGATTATTCTCGTTTTGCCCAATTTACATTGGCCGTTTGTTTTTTGTCCACTTGGGTTCCTGTTGTCATATCACATCAGGTGGATTGATATTATGTTGTTCATTTAAACTAAATCAGTATTAAAGTTCATTAACACAGATTCTCAAACTAAACATAAATTGTAACAATTTTATTGAAAACTAGAAACGATTTTATTAAATATTAGAAATCTATCAAATCAACTCTTGTAAATCGGGCTTCTCCTGCTAGATGGGTGTTACATAACCCCTCCTGAGTCAGTCTGCCAAGCGGCAACGCTTGAGACGGTTGTAGCCAGCCCTTGAGAGTTTTTGTATTTTGATCTCTTCAATTTTTTTAAATGGTTGACATTCGAGGACAGCGTGCCGCACTGAAATTTTGGTTTCTGCTCGATCGAAGACATTCAACGCCCGGGTCGACCTTCCACGTCCAGAACTGATGAAAACATGGAAAAAATTTACATGCTTGTGTACAAAGATAGAAGGCGTACTATTGATGTACTTGCTGAACTATCTGGCTTTTCGTATAACTCAGTGCAACACATTTTAGCCGAAGGTTAGCAAATCAGGCGAAATTCGCTCCCCGCTTGTTGTTTTCTGATCAGAAGGCGGCTCGTGTCGCTGATTGCCATCACGTGTAGACTGTAGACAACATATCAACTGCATCCGAGATTTCCATTTTGCTGATTACATTCTACATCTCGACGTCGAATTGCCTGAGAAGACCTCAAAATTTCAAAAATTATTTTGTCTGATTTAATTTGCAGCCAAATGAATCCTCTGTTGTAATTCTTCCAAAAAATTTATTTCTGCAGCATAAACTACAGCCTTCAGCCCACCCCACAGAAAGTAATTTAGAGGATTTAGGTCTGGAGACCGAGGTGGCCATGAAATGGGACCACCTCTACCTGTCCACCTGCCAGGAAAATAATCGTTTAACCAACTTACTATGGGTAAAGTCAGGTGGTGCCCCATCATGTTGATAGTGTAATGTTAAGCGTACATTTAATGGTGTATCATGCAATAGTTCTCTTACATCATTTTGAGAAAGTTTAAGTATCCTTCTGCATTCAGACGAGCGAGAAACTGAATTGCTTCAAGTAGTTGGTCCCCTAAAATTCCCGTCCGCACATTTATTGCAAATCTATTTTGAAAATTTGTGCGCCGTATTGCCAGTGGATTTTCGTCTGACCAGAAATGGGTATTATGAATATTAAACTCTCACTGTCTAGTAAACATAGTTTCGTCGCTCCATAAGATAGCAATATCTTATTCATTATCCATTCGGAGAACTGTAGCCTTCGTAAAAAATCTTCTTGTTTTAAAGCCTGTATCTGCTGATAATGGTATGGATGAATATTGTGCATTTTCGACTGATAACAATTCGCAAAAAGTAAATAACTGAACTGTCAATGCAAATAACGCCAAACATATTTTTGTTCTTCACAATCTGCTACTTTAAAGAATATTGACAATTTGATTCCCGATGATTAACACATGTAACATTATTTTTAAACGGATTTTACACAAAAATGGAACATTCTACCAATATGAACTAAGAGTACCTACGTTTTTTTAGTAAAAAACTTTGAAATTTCCTACTTTTCAGTTAAAAGTCAAAAAAGTCAAACCATAAAAAAGTTATGGTAAATTTCAATAGTAGCGGAATGAGCACGTAGGAGTTAAGCTAGTTACCAAATTTCATAAGTTTAACTCAACTGGTTTTGGAGTTATTTAGAAAAAATCATCATCAGAGTGGCCGCTTTAAGTGGTTATAACTTCCTTAGACCCACGTTTATATATAGAAAAAGTAATCTTTTTCGACAGCAAACACCCTGTAGAAATATTGCTCCCTAATTTCGAGACACCCTGTATATCTTATTACCCAATAGATACGCGCAAGCGAACTTTTCCGTCGTAAGCAAAGACATACACACAAATTATTTAGCAGCGTATATATCCGTCATAATCACTATTTATTGACCTTGCTCATGCCAATTATGTGCGTTATGAGCGTTCAGGAGGTTAAAGTCAAATTCTATATAAAAAAAATGCTAAAATTGCAAATAAGCTACAATAATGATTCTTTAATATTTTTCAGACTTCAAATGGAGTCAATTACATACTAATAACTCCAGGAAACAGTCTTTACTTCCCTGCTGTCGATTTCATTAAGAACAGCGTGGCAAAGGAGGGCCTGTCTTCGAAAAACCTGCCGGTGGTCATAGATTGCAGGTTTGTGTTAGGTAAGTTCGTTACTTACTTTATGGCTACCTATTTCAGTTCGGTTGAAACTTTAAGTAGGATTTAAATTATATTTCCCTTTTAGGTGCGGATTTTACTGCCGCCAAGGGCATATTGGCATTAATAAATGAATTCACAATGCGGAAGCAGCCTCTGTACTTCCTCAACGCGAGGAAGGAAGTCGTGTCGATTTTCGAGGGGGTCATGCAAGGTGATTTTAAATATTTCAAGACCAACGAAGAATTAGAAAGGCAACTTGATGGTATGTCGGTTGGTTGGGTTCCTTAAATTCAATTAATTTATGAAAAATTTATTTTAGAGCACATCAACGATCCTGTGGAAGAGCGGGATAATCTCCTGAGCTTCACCAAAGAGTATTTTCCGCAGAGTGGCGAGAAAAACGTTGAGCTTAAGGAAGTGACTTACGGAGAGGGGTCATCGACCATAAATCGTAAGAAAAACAGCAGTTAATGAGAAAGGGCTCTCTATAATTGATTTTTGTATATAAAGTATGTACACAGATCCTGTTATTTATTTTTTATTTATTATTTTTTTCCAATCGATCCGATTGGTTACCATTTACAGAATAAAATTTAATTTAGATTTTATTGAAAACTGTTTTTAATTGGTGGTGGTTTTTATTTTTTTTTAAATCCTTCCCAAACTCTTTTACATGGGTATTTACATAATACTTCATCCTTCTTATATTTGGTGCCTTTCTACAAGAAAAAAAAAAAGTGTTAAAGATCAAAATTTTCTTTCGATCTCAAAGAGGTGTATAAAAAAATTAATTCTGTATTTCAGCGACATAAATCCAGTAGTAAATTTAAGTAAAAATGATGGACTCTTACCCCGCCCGTGAACAAGCTAGACTTTAAACTACAGCGCGCGTTAATCGCAGAGCTTGCACAATCGACAACTGGGCTGTGCATTGTTGTCAAGTCTTATTTTTAAAAGAAAAGTTAGGTATTAAAAAGCAAATTTCTACGTTTAGGATTTTCGTAGTGTATCCATTTTTCATCGCTAGTTACGATACATTGCAAAAAATCTTTCCTTTTTTGTAGTTGAAGCAGCTGTTCACACGTGATAAGACGCCGTTCAAATTCTTTCGGCTTCATTTTGTACGAGACTCAATATCTTAATTCTTTCAAACGTTTTCAAACTGTTGTGCGATCAACTCCTAATGATTCTGCGAGTTCAACTTGCGTCTGACATGCGTCTTCATAAAGTAATAGCCTCCATTTCCTCATCTTCTTCATGTGTTTCGGTGCACCACAGCGTTCTTTATCATCAACATCAAAATCATATTTTTTTCTGTTTAACATTATCACAAAAAAAGTAGTTTGCACTTTGGCGAAATGTCATACACTGAATTTTAAGCTTGCTTATGGTATATTACATTTCTCTAAATCGGAAAGTAATTTACATACCTATACAGGTGGATTTCTTAAATGATTTACTTTTCTAATGTTGCTTTCAAAATTTGAATTGTTAAATTATGCGTTATATTCAGAATTTACGGATGTCATTATGCAAAATGTTTCTGAAATAAGTGTGTTCTTGAGAAAGGGTAATAGAGGGCACAAAAATGAGCAACTTTTAATAAGCAACTGATGGGCTAAATCCTTCTGTTTTCAAGAAAATTAATTAAGAAAATTGTAAAGCTCACCCTGTGCATCTTGTGCACGTGCGTTGTGTGTTACAATATTATGTAGCTGGCATATAAAATGTTTTCTGCTCAAGAACTAGTCGATATGGTGCTAATGTATGGAGAATGTCAGTACAATTTAAATGAGATTTGTCGTTTGTATGCGACCATTATCATAACAGACGGCAATCTAACAGTAGAACAGTGCAAAAGGCAGTTCAAAGGTTACGGGATACTGGGAATGTCCATCTGACATTTGAAGGCTGCAACATGTTTCCAACAATGAAGAAAATATAAACCTCGTTGAGGAAGATCCGAGGCGTACTCTAACAGTACCATGTGGAGTGTACTACAGCCACACAAAAAAAATTTGTCTGTACTTTTCATGTGACATATTATCCGTAGTATTTTTGCCTCCTGATCACGAATCCGGTGTCAGAATTGAGCTATCACGTCACAGGAGTTTCCTAACCTCAAAAAACAGGTCAAAAATAGCAAACATTCACGAAAAAGTGCTAGGAAAAATATAATTTTTTTTTTCTATATTCAAATGTTCATTTATATAGTTATAACCCCGCCGAACGTGAATCCGCGATCAGAATTGATGGTTCTTTTTCTAACCTCAAAAGAACGGGTCAATTAAGGTCAGATATCACGATTTTTCAAAAATAATAGATTCGCGCCAAATTTGGTATCTGGGGGTTTACGGGATCGCTGATCACGGATCCGAGGTCAATTTTGCAAAATTTAAGATGGCGAATCCAAGATGGTCGACCAAATTTTCAAAAAATAACAGATTCGCGCCATATTTGGTATACAGGGGTTTTCGGAGTCGCTGATTACTAGAGTTCGGGGTTTTCGTCGGCTAGTCATAGGCGTGTTCATCGTAAACAAATAAATAAAGAGGTATTTATAAATAAAAATAAATTTTCGTGCTTTATCAAGGAAAGGTCGTTTTTTACTCCTTGGCGTGTTCGACATTATGGAATATATTAAAACACGTATACACGAAGCAAAAGCGAAGTCACTAACTGCCGTTATTACCGGTTTCGTACGACGCGCTGTAGCAAAAGGTCGATGCGACGGTTATAGATCCGACCGAGTCCCGAACTCTACTGATCACGAATTCGAGGTCGGAATTGCCAAATTCATTTTGTAATATTTTTGTTTACTTTATAACCTGAGTATCCAGTCATGGTTTACCCTTCTTTTTTTCGGCTATATCTTGTTCTTTTTTCTGTACAAGATCTATTCATGGATTTTCTGCCTAATCTCAAATAATAAAGTATATGGATTAAATTTTTAAAAACGAATTTTGTAAATCTTATATCGGATTCGTGATCAGTGACTGCGAAACTCCCCGCATACCAAATCTGGCGCGAATGTGTTATTTTTTTGAAAATTTGGTCGGATATCTTGGATTCTCCATCTTAAATTTTGCAAAATTTACTTCGGAACCGTGATCAGTGACCCCGAAAATCCCTGTATTTAGTCCAAGCGTTATAGAGAAATGTTTACAGAAATTATTACCTGGACAAAAAAAAAAATATGACCGTATAGAAAATAGATTTTAAATTGAGTATCTTGTTCTTTAAACTCGATCCAAAATGGCGACCGTGGTTAAAAAAATTCGCAAAGTTGCAAAAAACGGTTTTTCTAAAATAACTAAAAAAATATAACACCGATTGAAAAATTTGAAATGAGAAAGTTATAGGTTTTAAAAAGATCTATCGACTGATTTTTGTAAGTATCGATTGCTTTGTTAGTTTTCGAGATATATATCGAAAAAACCGTTAAAAATCTTCTCTTTTCGCTTCTTCTATAACTCGTTTACATCTACGTTTCCATACTTGCTATTTACTGCAAGCATAGTCCGCGGCAAGCCAAAAAAGTACATTTTTGAAAAATTTTAAAATATCAATTATTTTTTAATATATCGATTTTTTGAAAAAAAGGCGCTCTCGAAAATTGGCTACATCTTCTCAGCGGATAGCCCTACAGTGACGATTTTCGGTTTATTTCGTAAAGAGTTATATTATCATGCTGATAAAAAATGTTGACGATTTTATTAATTTTAAGGATCAAAAAATGACTGAAAAAGTTGCACTTTTTTTGGGTCATGTTTTTTTCAAATAACTATTTCAAATTTTATTTTATAAAAATGACCTTTATAGAAAGAAACTGCTGACATTTTTTCACGAATTTAAAAAAAAAAGTTTTTCTACGACCTTCTGGAGCCGAGATAATTTTTTTATTTAAAAAAATGTTTGAGTACGCAATTAACATTTTACAGCGATGCGCTTGATGGAGGTTAATATTGAATGCTTATATTTAAAAAAAAAATAGGATATGTTTACTTGATTTTTAGTATTAGTAAACTGAAGCGTGCAAGCGCCGAGTGCGTCAGCTGGACCGGACGGAGTAGGGGGAAGCGGCGCGCGCTCGCTCTGAAAACTGATGACGTGCAGTCTAAACGGCTCGCTCCAGAAGGTCGTAGAAAAACATTTTTTTTTAAATTCGTGAAAAAATGTCAGCAGTTTCTTCCTATAAAAGTCATTTTCATAAAATAAAAATTGAAATAGTTATTTGAAAAAAACAAACCCAAAAAAAGTGCAACATTTTCAGTCATTTTTTGATCCTTAAAATTAATAAAATCGTCAACATTTTTTATCAGCATGATAAAATAACTCTTTACGAAGAAAATAAACCAAAAATCGCCACTGTAGGGCTATCCGCTGAGAAGATGTAGCCAATTTTCGAGAGCGCCTTTTTTTTCAAAAAATCGATATATCGAAAAATAATATATTTAAATTTTTCAAAAATGTACTTTTTTGGCTTAGTAGTATGGGAACATAGATGTAAACGAGTTATAAAGAAGAGAAAAGAGAAGATTTTTAACGGTTTTTTCGATATATCTCGAAAAGTAACAAAGCAAACGATACTTACAAAAAATCGTCGATAGATCTCTTTAAAACCTACAACTTTCTCATTTAAAATTTTTCAATCTTTGCAATATTTTTTTAGTTATTTTAGAAAAACCGTTTTTTGCAACTTTGCTATTTTTTTTTAATCATGTTCGCCATTTTGGATCGAGTTTAAAGAACAAGAAACTCAATTTAAAATTTAATTTTCTATACGGTCATATTTTTTTTGTCCAGGTAATAATTTCTGCAAATTTAACGTTAATCCGCAGAATGCTTGGACTAATTTCAAATTTGGCGCGAATCTATAATTTTTTGAAAATTCGTGATGTCTGACCTTAATTGATCCGTTCTTTTGAGGTTAGAAAAAGAACCATCAATTCTGACCAGGGATTCACGTTCGGCGGGGTGTTAACCATATAAATAAACATTTGAATATAGAAAAAAAAAATGTGTATTTTTTCCTAGCACTCTTTCGTGAATTTTTGCTATTTTGGACCTGTTTTTTGAGGTTAGGAAATTCTTGTGATGTAATAGCTCAATTCTGACACTGGATTTGTGTTCAAGAGGTAAAAATACTACGAATAACATATGTCGCATGAAAAGTACAGACTACTTTTTTTTTGTGTGACTGTGTTATTACACCCCTATCATGTACAAAGGGTTCAGACATTAAATAACAATGATTGTAAGTCCCGTGTGGAATTTTGGCAGTGTTTGGAAGCATGTTTACTGTTTTAATACTGAACACATACATACTATTCCGGACTAGTTCGAAACAGTGGAATTTTCTGCACTATTTTTAGTACCTACTCAAAACGATAATTTTTTGGAGCTTGTACTAAAAAAGCTCTTATCGTTATGATAAAACAACCCACTAAACATTTTTCAGTTTCTGACATGTTTCAGAAACGTTTCCATTTTTCTTGAAACGTTTCATAAAAAATCCATGCAACGTTCTGGTAACGTTCTAGAAGCCCAAGATGTCCTCCCCAAAATACGTT